AAAATATATAATATATAATTAATGTTTTTTAATAAATTCAATTCAACAATTATTTTTGTCAGAAAAAGTAATGCAAGTTTTTTAATATTTTAATTTAATTTTAATTTGATATCAAGGTGGATCACAGAAAAAAAAAGTTATAAACCAGGATCAGAATATAGTTGATGTTAGTGATTCATCTTCCTCTTCAAATTCTCAATTAGCAGATTTAAATGAATCTTTAGATTCTCTTCCTGATGATTCTGTGATTAATGAATTGTTCTACAAAGATAAGGTAAATTATTATTGAAATAATTCTTATTTTAATTAATTTTCTATGCAGACAAAGGAGCTACAGAACTGTGGTGATTGAAACTTATAAAATTTCTTGTTTATGTTTTTTTTTCTCTATTTTATATTCTGTACTCTAATAATTAGCTATATTGTATTGTGATTTATTAATGCAGAATATCACATAAAATTTGTACACAGAAATAATCTGATGTACTGAAATTTATAAGTACTGATTCTTCAAATGTTATTTTTATACAAGTTTTAATAATTAAAAATTAGTTATGTTATATTAAAGAGTTAGAATAGTGAGAATCTAAAATTTAGATTTATAATTTAATTTTAATTTAGTAAATAACTTTAATAAAATATTTGTTTCTTATTATAAAGTGTAATTTTTAAAATAAGTTAAAATAATTTTGAAGGGAAAATATATTCTATAACTATTGTTTAATAGTTATATAAAATAAAAATTCAAAATTTTAATTGTTTTGTTGTAATTAATATGTATATAATTAAATATTCTGTGTTTTAAAATATTTAATTAAGTTTCTTAAATTTTTTCAGAGTGTTCAAGAATTATCACCAACAATGCATAAATTTCATAAAAATTATCAGTATAAAATAAAACCAATTAGTAAATCTTCAGAAAATAGATCAAAAGTCGAACTGCCAGAAAATGATTCACATTATAACAGTAATACTCATTTGTCTTCAGAAATAAAAAGTGTACCAGAAAATGTCAAATCAATTAAAGTGAAAATTAAAAATATAAAATTTAAGTTTTCTCAGAAAAGTTCACATAATTCTGTTGCTACTTTGCTGGAACAAAATAAGTTAAGGTAATTATTTTATATCTATACATTAAAACTTTTACAGATTATTTTATATCTATACATTAAATTTTTACAGATTATAATTATGTGAAATTTAAAAAATTATATAACATAAACAACATTACAATCTTTTTTAGTAAAAGTACTTTTGCCTTTATCAGTTAGAGATATTTGAACAGGAAAAGTGCTCTAGAAATTTTATTTTGAAAGACAAACCTTGGTTTTCGAATATAATTCATTTCTAAAAGTTGTTCTAAAACAAACAAATTTTTTCATAAGAAATAATATAAAATGGATTAATTTATTCCTCACTCCTGAAATAAAGCCTTTTTTACCTTTTTAGCTGTATTTCATGCATAAAAATACCTACAAATGCAATGTAATAATATATTATATAACATACCAGCTGAATAAAGAATAAAGTTATAAATAAGAAAGACAATTTCATTTATCATAACCTTAAACATGAAATCTTGGATGTCATTTATGTGAATGTCAATTAATTTATTTGATTTAAATGCAACTGTGGTGCATACCAAAAATCAGAAGAAGAATCTTTCGTGCATAAGCATTGAAATCAAATTTAAGTAGAAATGTTATCAATGATTTATGCCGTGATATTTAATGATGCAAAGCAGTCTCAGTGCCACTAACTTCTGAATCGATAGTCCTGCTGTTGATTGGTAGTTTTTAGATGTATGCATAGTCATTGATTTGGAAATAGTTGATACAACAAATTAAATTTCAAAGCATAGTAACTGAATGCCATTGATTATTTGATAAGTTATTAATAGATTGTGTAACTTCTCATATTGGAACACACAAATTATAAATTATAAAATTAAGTATTTTTTATTTATTTTGTTATTAGGTATTAAATATTATATTTATTTTGTCACCATTTTGTTTGTATAATTTATTGCATTTATTCATTTGGCATTGCATTTGTTTATTATTTATTTTATTTTATTGTATTCATTTATTTATTTTTATATTTTTGTTGTAAATATTTACAGTTGTATTCCTAAACAAACATTTCTAGAACATTTTTAAACTTTCTATTGATTATTCTGCTCGAATTTTTGTAACTGATAACAACCTTAATAACATTTTAATAAAATAGATAAAGGTACTTTTACTATAAAAAGATTAACATTGCTTGTGTCTAAAATATCAGTATCTCACATGTATGTTAGATTATTATATGAACATTTAAAACTATTATTTTTTAAAAGTTCAAACAATGATGATTGATATTTTCATTTTATATTTTTTATAAATAATAACTAATAATAATTATTCACTTAAACAAAAATAGTTAACAAATTTTCTAAAAAGTGTAGGAAAGAATCATGAAAGTACATGTGAAAAATTACTTGTTATAAGTCTTAAGAGAGTCTGAAAATCATTCTATTTTAAATTTAATCTAAATGTATATTATGTTTTGGAATAAAGAAAGTTGCATTGTAATTATGCCATTGTTCTGTAGTAATGTTGCTTACCTCTAGTTCCAAGTAATGATAATTAAATCAAAGATCATGTTATAACTAAAAAATTATATATTAGGTTTATATTCATAAAATTTATTTTGTGATCTAATCATAGTTTCAAAATTTATTATAGAGTTATTATTTATATACATTAGATTTTTTATAAATATAATCTACATTAGTACAGGTAATATTTTAATAGTTTTTTTTTTTTTTTGAAGAACATATATTTTAGAACTGATTCCACCATTTTCTGCTGAAGTTAAATCATGGGATCATAGAGGACATAGAATGCATTATTCAGATAACTTGCAGTTTATTTCAAGGAGAATAAAGAATGGAGGTAAGTAACTGCTTTTTAAAATTAACATATTATTGTTATAAAGTTTTCTAACTAGTCAAAACATATTATTTAAAATATTATATATCTTTCTTAACTAATTTATTTACATCAACTATAATTTCTGTGTAAAAAGTATAATATAAAATATAATAATTTATATGATGATGTAAATGTGTGTTCTAACATAATTTAACTTTCAAGAACATTAGTTTTATATAAATTAACAGCTCTCTTTCTGTTTTTCTCTTTCTCTCTCTTTCTCAAATTTCTCTTTGTTTACTTATAAAAATTATTTTATAGCAATGTATAATTTTTATAAATAATTAAGAATATAAAATATAAAAATAAGAATATAGAATATAAAAATAATTAAGAATATACATTACAGTATATTCTGAAAATATAAAATTATACGTTGCTAGAAAATAATTTTTATAAGTAAACAAAGAGAAATTTTGTTTATCTTTACAACTGATAATTGAAATATAATTTTTGGAATTTTTTAAATGTATCTTGTAAAATTTTAAAATAGAAAATAGTAGACATGCGTCTTGATTCCCAAACTTCCAAAAAGTTAGTTTGGTTGAATTATATGTAAATTTTGTCATTACATCATAAAAGTACAAAGGAACACTAGCTTATAGTTTTAGCTTATTTCTAACATAAAAATATCTTTACTTTTGTATTCAAAATCTTCTACTTTATATTTGCTTAAAAATTTAGAAAAAAAAAACAAAACAGACAGAAAAGATATTTAATAAATTTTAATGAGGTTCTTCACTTCATTCTTTCTGTGGCTGAATAAACATAGTAGACCTTGAATATATAGTTTCTAATAATGGATTTTTAACTGTGAAGGAATTATAAATTTTTGTAAATATATGAATAACAGATTAATTTTTAAAATCAATAAATTATAGGAAAGCTGTTAGTGAAAATCATTAAAATAAATAAAATAAAATTTTTTAAATTTAACAACACAGTCATATAATATTTTGGTTAAATCTAATGGATGTCAATTTAAGAAATTATCTTTAATGTGAAATAAAAATTTCATTTATTTTCCTAAATAAATAAAGAATTGTTACAATATAAAATCATCTATATAGTTTTTCAAACAGGATGAATTTGTTGATATGACTGAAGCTGAGAAAAAGCTTACAGTTAATGTTTATGATAAATCTTTATCATAGCTACAACATAATTTCAGTTCTTATATCATTCAAATTTAAAAGCACAGCAATGAAACAAGTTGATGTTGGAACTAAATTCTCAGAAGTTGTGAAATTGAAGAATTTTCCTATTCTAAAATGATAGCAATATTGAAAATTATATCAACAGATTCATTGTTAATAAAATACCTGGTTAAAGTAAAAATTATATAAATTGTGAAAAAAAGTTATATCAAAATTCATGTTTAAAAGAAAGTCCTAACAAGTTTCACTTTGAGATTGTTTTTTTAATATGCTGAAGCTTGTATTTTTTTACATATTACATATAATTACATAATACATTTGAGTTTTCTTACATCAATTTTTATTTACTAATAATAAATAAACATAACAATTATAATAAATAAATATTTTAATTTAATTTTGTTTTAACTTAAAATATTATTTTCAAATTTATCTTAATTTTAATTATCAAATTTCAATTTAAATATTTTAATGTCTTTAGTTGTCATATTTAATCAAGAAGTAAATATTACCTGTAAAAAATCTATATCAGTTAAAGAATTACTATCAAAAGAGCTAATTTTTACTGCAAAAGCAAGAATGCATGATATACATAAGGTGAGTAAATAAATATCATAAACATTTATTAAAGAAGTTATTTTTATTAGTATGCATTATTAAATATAAATAAGTTAATTAAAAATAATTGTAAACTTTTAGAAATATATTGAATTAATTAAAATGTTTTATTACTAAAAGCTATTATTATAACTTTTAAGTATATTTTATGTTTTATTTTTTTATTTTCATTTCTGTATTTAATTAATATTTTATTTTGATATTTATGTTGGACAAATTTAAGTAAAAAAAAAAATACTACTAAAAACATAATCTGTAGAAAGACAATTTCACAAATATTTTTGAGACCAAATTGTATCTTCAGATTGTTTTTCAAAGAAAGAAGTTTTAAAAAACTGAATAAATCCAGCATTTCTTATAATTCTAAAATTACAATTAAAGAATTTCTATTTTTAGAATTGTAAGTATTTCTATGTCATTAATAAATCATAATTATGTTCCAAAATATAAAAACTCTAATTCAATTAATTTTTACAAATGTTTTTTGACAAATGATCTGAAGATGCCAGTTAATCTCAAAAATATTCATGATGTTTTAAGTGTAATTTAAACTTTAACTGAAAAAGATGACTCCATTGATTATGAATATTCATAACTAAATTGTTCTAAATTCATAGCAGCAGTTTAGATATTCCAAATGAGTTCAATATTTGATTAAATTTTTTTATCTAATGGTTTATTGAAATCTCTTGTTTATATAAGATTTAAAATAAGTTATATATTATTATCTTCACTTTTTACAACTTGATAGTAAAATTTTATTAATTGTTGTATTAGGAATGTGTGAATTCAATATCTGTTTTCCTGTTGGCAAATTGCATATCTTAATACATACTTTTTAAGTCTAAATAATCTCAAAAAGTTTATTTGAAAGCATTTTATTTTGTGAGGGGCTAGCCAGGGATACGGAGTTAGTAAAACTCATGTAATGCTTAATCGGCATCTAGTCATGAGACTAGCCTGCGGTCGTTGAAGGATGGCTTCCTTAGACTTAGAGATAAAAACAGAGGTTCATATGAGACCCCTGAAAGTTGTTTTTTCCTGACACCAGATAGTCAATTTCGTGGTCTGTCACACGTTCGTGAGGAATCTCCAGTGGGAGGGACGTGAATAAGTGGAATGGACGGAGGCTTTGAATTTAGTCAGAGATGAGACCATGTTATAACAATAACAAAAGAATTTAATAAAATGAATATCATATAAACAAGGATTACAAAATAATAAAGCTCCTAACTTGCATTGAGAGAGAGTTTACATTCACAAGAAATTATACTACCTCGAACTTAAGTAGTGTTTGTGGTAGTAGTCTTCTATAATGTGGATCGGATAATTAATCTTCTATGCGTCTCCAAATGTCTTCTATATGGGCTCTTCAATATCATGGGAGGCAATCTTTAGTCTATACAGAGATTGACGCTTATGTGGCCAGTTCTTACATTCACAAGAAGTCCCTGAAGATTATCTTCAGGGAACTCCGCACTTATTATGTGGCACATCCTACTTCGGGGAACTGCCCCCAAAGGTGAGAAATCTTAACTCTTTTTATAAGAATGGCTGACTCATCTGCACGGGACAATGAGTAGCTCTATTCGGTAAAAGAAAGGAAGTTTGTTTCCTCCCCTTTTCATCCCTTGTGTTAAAATTCTTTCCTTGATAATAAAATATTTTAATAATATTTTATATTAATTAAAAACGATCCCTCAGATCTCACAATTTCAATTAAAAAATCCAGTTTCCAAATTGTACTTTCATATAAAACAGAACTCATTAATATATTAAACAATTTCTTATGTATACAAATATCAGATACTTTAATTTATGAATAGAATGTAGCTTTATTAGACAATTAATTAAGGGGATATTTTTATTATATAATTATTTTAGATGACCATATAACAATCCATTCCAAGTAAATTTGACTCTTAAATGTACAGTCTTGTTAATTGTCTTAAGGATTGACTAGTTATGTAGAATGAATATTTTGTAGGTTTATTTTAAATTCTTTTTTCTTTATTCTTGGTTTTTCTCATATATTTATTATTCTATTTGAATGTAAGGCTGTATTTTATTTCCACATTTATTTGCTTTTATAAAAGTGTTTTGCATGTAATCTTTAAGTAATTATATTTTTACTTAATCTTAATCTAGCATTATTATTTTGTGAAAACAAAATAATAATGCTAGATTTGTAATTAATTTAGCAAAATTGATTTATTTATTTAATATTTAAACAATATAACCCATTTTTTCTTAAGATTGTAAATTTAGGTTCTGGTGGAATCAAAATTAAAGATATAATTTCTGCTAGATCTATGTGTACAGTGTGTTCATTATCACTTAAGGATATTACTAAAAATGTATCAGAGAAAAGTGTCAATGAGAAATATTCAAATGAATCAATTTTAGAAGTAAGTAGACTACATGTTTTTTTTACTTTCTCTTAAAATCTATCAGAAAACTAATGGCCAATTATTTGATTTACATTCACAAATGATAAAAGTGATACAAAGAGAACTGTATACAAAATTTTAAAATATATTTTCTATTTTAAATTATTTTGAAAATATTCAAATGAATCAATTGAGAAATATTCAAATGAATCAATTTTAGAAGTAAGTAGACTACATGTTTTTTTTACTTTCTCTTAAAATCTATCAGAAAACTAATGGCCAATTATTTGATTTACATTCACAAATGATAAAAGTGATACAAAGAGAACTGTATACAAAATTTTAAAATATATTTTCTATTTTAAATTATTTTGAAAAGTAAAGAATACAAAAATATTTTAAATTGTTTAACTCAAAACTAATCTTTGTTTAACATCGAAATTGAAACATAGGCAAATTCAGCTTTCAATTTTTTTTTTCCTCATAATCAATTTAATCTCATTGTTGTACATTCAGGCACCTTGGACATTAATTCAGAAATAGATTATACAAATTATTAAATTTTAAAAATAGTATTAGATAATTTTGTAAACATTTTTAATAAAGATTTCATAAAAACTCATTGCAGATTTGATGTATAGTATATACATAAAATATTTAATTTATGTATCTCCACACCTAGGTAGAAGTATCTTTGATTACATCGAGGATAAATGTACATCACTCTGAAAGTTCAACATCATCTAAAACTTTAAGTAAAACACAATTTAATGAAAATGAAATTACAGACATTTCAAAGAATGATGAAACAGAATCTGGTAAGAATGAGACTCATACAAATAACATCGATGATGTATCTAAATCTAAAGAGATATCAGAAGATAGTCCTGATTTTTACAAAAATCTTATTATAGTGAGTTTTCTATACTTTTGAAATTATTAGAAATATTGTTAATATTATAACTTTAATATGTTTTTTTACTTTAATAATTACTATTTAATTTTTCTTTGTTTTTGAATGAATTAAACTTATGTTTAATATGTGTCATATTGTATTATTCTTTAAAACTTAATTTCCTTTAATAGCAAATATAACAAAATTATTAATGTAACTTTTATAGTTATGAAATGCCCTGTTGTTTTGAAAAATAATTTTATTTTAATGTTAAGATCTTCCTTAAATAAAACACAAATAAAATATTCAGCACAAAAACTTTATGTATTTTACTTTATTAATTTATGAAGAATTTATTTGTTGTTTTATACTTTCTTTAAATTTTCACTCTATTCATAATACAAAGGAAAAGGTTTTTTTTAATTTCAATTTTATATGAAATTGTTTTTTATTTAAAATGAAATGTATTTTAGTAACATTTTATTTTAATTAGTACAGTATTCAAATATTAAAGTTACTACATTCTTTCAAATAAATAGCAACTTTGTTGCTTTTATATTTCTTTTATTATATAATAATTTATTGATGACTAAAAGTCAATAAATTATTATATAATGTCAACTTAACTATGTTCCAAATCATTATTAATTAGATTAAAACCTGATTTTAAAAATTTGTTTTGGAAAATGATAATATCACTGATAATTCAGAAAGCAAATTTATTACATTTTTATGTATTTATTCTAAATATATAGTAAGCAAAATTTGTCTTCCTACAATATGATGATGCACTGAAATTTTATATGATAGCTACATTATTTGTTGTATTACATTGATAGTAATTAAATATTATATCATACTAGAAATTCTCCCATCAAGCATGAAGGAATAGTTTTTATGAGAAAGTAGAGATTAAAGAATTGAGAAGAGTAGAGATTTCAAGAAATTCAAGAGTTGTTAATATTTCTACAAATGAAGTAGTTTATACTATCTGTTGTAACATAAAGAGCAACAAAACAAAATTTTACCTGAAGTAGACAAAAAAGTTGGAGTTAAAGAAAATTCACTTACATACACATAAACAGATTTAGGCCTTTAAAATAATAAAATCTTTCTTTATACACTACATTCTGAATAAACACTATTGTCTTTTAATTTTCTAGAGAAGAAACTTAATTTTCATAAAACTCAGAAATGATACCAAATTCAGAAATTGTTTTTACTCAATAACATATATATATGTTATTGAGTAAAAACAATATACAGGGTGTCCCAACGAAAACGAAACGACAGAGATATCGCGTTCGTCCAAGCAAATCGCTCGGACAGGTCGATTTTATTCTCAAGGGGGCGTCCGCAGATGGCGTGATGTCTTTTAACCAATGTGTGGTTGAGTCTTCAGATGTTGTCCGAGTAGCGTTCCTATGGCGACCAACATCGTCTGTCGAACGACTAAAAGCGCGGTTAAAACGAGTGTGCTAGACGATTTTTATCCCGACAAAAAAAATAATAATAATCTTAAATTCGAATTGACTCACTATGTGGTCAAGCTTAATGTGAAATAAGCTTGTTGACGTAGACGAAGAGGCATCTCACGGTATGACTTCTGAAGAGATAGGTCATGTCAAGAAGATGAGATTGCTTATCTTGTCAAGACAGTTACATGTTCTTATGTCACTTTACAGTAAGTTATTAAATCTCAAAATACTGTATTATAACATTTGGAAACAGATAACACATTATCAACCTTAATTTTATGATCAACTTAATTTTCCTTGCATATGCGGTCTAGCTTAAAAGGTTTTTTTTTATGTTTTTTAATAGTTTGTGTTACTTTATTTGAAATAAATGTTTGTTTAGTTAATAAAAAATGAATAAGTTTTTAAAAATTTTGTTGTCTGTTGTATTCAGAATCGCAAAAACTTCATTGCAGAAAATGTCCCCCTTGAGAATAAAATCGACCTGTCCGAGCGATTTGCTTGGACGAACGCGATATCTCTGTCGTTTCGTTTTCGTTGGGACACCCTGTATATATATGTAATACAACTACATAGTTTTACAAATATCAAACAAACAACTAGCTTCTTTATTGGGCTATAAGGCTAAATAATTACTAAATAAGCCTTTTGGCAAATTCAAATTGCTTAGTAATTATTTAGCCTTATGGCCTAATGAAGAATCTAGCTGTTCATTTGCTGTGTCTGTATGTATATATAAGTGTGTACATACAGGTATCCCTTGCTTAATGCAGGATTTGATTAAATTAATTGCAGCAATCCCTTTTTTGTGTGTGGCAGAAATTTTAATTAATGTGGCTTTAACAGCTGTCTTTACTTAACATAGATATGTTTTATCAGCAAATAAGCTGTTGGTGAATTTGCTATTTTTGTTTTTTAAAATAGAAATATTTGTTATTAACTAAAATTTGTTCTAGCAGGTAGGAATGGGTATATTAAAATTGCATTAATCAACTATCGAGATATGTATGTATTTGATTAATGCAATTTTGATATATATAGTAGCATTGAGGGATTAATTAACTGATTAATCAAGGAATACCTATATATATATATATATAATTTTTAATAGTTTGACAAATTTTTGAGATATGTTATAGATATTTCTTCATTATTTTAGAATGATGTTCTCTATTGTTTACTTCAAATAAGTGATGGAAGAAATTTTGGAAAGAAAAAATGGTTGCATGTAGTTTTTCGACTATTCTTCAGCAAGAGTGGATTTTTTAGAGATATTTTATATGATCCTGAACAACCACAGTTTTGTTTTACTCAGGTATACGTTTTCTATTTATAAGCATTTACAGATAACTTAGTTGCTTGAGATGCTACATTAATAATTTAATCTGTATTGAAGTTACAGAAAAATATATTTTACATAGTAATAAAAGAAATGTATTTTCTACTTACTATTGCTAAAATTGGATTGAAACACTAAAAACTTCCTATTAAATAGTGATAAAAATAAACACTGAGGGTGAATATAGAGCAAATAATAATAATTTTGCTATTATATGTGATTCAGCTTGTCAAGTGAAGGCTTTAGTTTCACTTAAAATTTCCTTTAGTTTCTCTACTTTTTTATTTTGATTGAAATATTAGTACTATATGTAAGCTTGCAGACATTTTATATTCATACAATATTTTTAATAGAAGACATGTTAGACTGTTTAAAAACTGAAATTAATTTTTGGAAATGCAAATTTTTATATTTTAGTCTTATTCTTACATACACAGCTTACTTTAAAGGAAGAAATATAATTAACTAGTTAGTTTTTAAATGAAATACCAAGAAATGCATTGAATTCTTTTAATTGAAAAGTTTTCAAATTCAATAAGGATTTTATTTCTTTTTGACAATTAGAAAGTTAAAATACTAGAACATTCTTTTTATATTCAGCTAAAAGAAAACATTATGTAAAATATAATAACAAAGTGCAGAGTAATTTTAATCAAAGATATCAATTATCTATATTTAATATATTTATTAATTAATAAATTGAATGATATTTTTAATTATGAACACACAGAGAAGTTATTTGGACTATAAAAAATGTTCAAAATATTAAACTGTTCAGGAAACAAATATATTAAAGTAAAAATTATTATTTTTTATTTATTTTTTAACATATTAAAATTATATTAAGAAAATAACTGAAAGTTGGAATGAAATAATGAAATTTCTTATTTAGAATTATAGTAATGAGATTTAAAAGTAAAAGATGTAATAAAATTTTGAATATAAAACTAATAGGTTATGCAAAGTAATGTTTTATTTATAAACAGAACTAAATGGCTTAAAAACTTATTTATAATAATTTTTTTAACCTTAAACTAAATTACAAAATAAATTATTCATTTTTGTAGATTATTGTAATTATTATTATATAAAATAAATATTCATAAAATATTCATCTAATTATTATAATCATCAAATTTACTTTTAGATTTTTCCAGTTCTACTAAATGATGAATTACTTCAGAGCACTAATAATAATATAATGGTAATTGAAATTTGGGAAAGAAATGACCAGAAATCAGAACAAAAAGTAAGGTTATATTGTAAGGTTGTAAGGGTACAATAATGTTTGTTTGTTATATTTTTATCTGAATTCAATTGTTAACATATATTTGTATATTTTTTTTTTCCTGTAGAAATTAAGAGGACTGTGTAAACTTCCATTACATTGTTTCTATTTAGTATTCAATAATTCAGCATTAGCCAAAAGTCATTTGCTATCTAAGGTTTGTAGAATGATATGCAGTTTATTATTATATTTCAATATATTNTTCTGTACTATATTAAAAACTAAAATTTATTTGTTTGTAAGCTTAAAATAGATTCTTATTAACCATATATTATTAAAAATGCATTTATAAATAAAGTACAGAACTGGGAATGGTTATTTGTGGTTTAGCCTAGTGACAAGTAAATTCGTCTTACATCATTTTTCGACTTAAGTTGCCTCTCCTGGAACCAATTACCGACATAAGGTGAGGTATACCTATATATATATATATATAATTTTTAATAGTTTGACAAATTTTTGAGATATGTTATAGATATTTCTTCATTATTTTAGAATGATGTTCTCTATTGTTTACTTCAAATAAGTGATGGAAGAAATTTTGGAAAGAAAAAATGGTTGCATGTAGTTTTTCGACTATTCTTCAGCAAGAGTGGATTTTTTAGAGATATTTTATATGATCCTGAACAACCACAGTTTTGTTTTACTCAGGTATACGTTTTCTATTTATAAGCATTTACAGATAACTTAGTTGCTTGAGATGCTACATTAATAATTTAATCTGTATTGAAGTTACAGAAAAATATATTTTACATAGTAATAAAAGAAATGTATTTTCTACTTACTATTGCTAAAATTGGATTGAAACACTAAAAACTTCCTATTAAATAGTGATAAAAATAAACACTGAGGGTGAATATAGAGCAAATAATAATAATTTTGCTATTATATGTGATTCAGCTTGTCAAGTGAAGGCTTTAGTTTCACTTAAAATTTCCTTTAGTTTCTCTACTTTTTTATTTTGATTGAAATATTAGTACTATATGTAAGCTTGCAGACATTTTATATTCATACAATATTTTTAATAGAAGACATGTTAGACTGTTTAAAAACTGAAATTAATTTTTGGAAATGCAAATTTTTATATTTTAGTCTTATTCTTACATACACAGCTTACTTTAAAGGAAGAAATATAATTAACTAGTTAGTTTTTAAATGAAATACCAAGAAATGCATTGAATTCTTTTAATTGAAAAGTTTTCAAATTCAATAAGGATTTTATTTCTTTTTGACAATTAGAAAGTTAAAATACTAGAACATTCTTTTTATATTCAGCTAAAAGAAAACATTATGTAAAATATAATAACAAAGTGCAGAGTAATTTTAATCAAAGATATCAATTATCTATATTTAATATATTTATTAATTAATAAATTGAATGATATTTTTAATTATGAACACACAGAGAAGTTATTTGGACTATAAAAAATGTTCAAAATATTAAACTGTTCAGGAAACAAATATATTAAAGTAAAAATTATTATTTTTTATTTATTTTTTAACATATTAAAATTATATTAAGAAAATAACTGAAAGTTGGAATGAAATAATGAAATTTCTTATTTAGAATTATAGTAATGAGATTTAAAAGTAAAAGATGTAATAAAATTTTGAATATAAAACTAATAGGTTATGCAAAGTAATGTTTTATTTATAAACAGAACGAAATGGCTTAAAAACTTATTTATAATAATTTTTTTAACCTTAAACTAAATTACAAAATAAATTATTCATTTTTGTATTTTATTGTAATTATTATTATATAAAATAAATATTCATAAAATATTCATCTAATTATTATAATCATCAAATTTACTTTTAGATTTTTCCAGTTCTACTAAATGATGAATTACTTCAGAGCACTAATAATAATATAATGGTAATTGAAATTTGGGAAAGAAATGACCAGAAATCAGAACAAAAAGTAAGGTTATATTGTAAGGTTGTAAGGGTACAATAATGTTTGTTTGTTATATTTTTATCTGAATTCAATTGTTAACATATATTTGTATATTTTTTTTTTCCTGTAGAAATTAAGAGGACTGTGTAAACTTCCATTACATTGTTTCTATTTAGTATTCAATAATTCAGCATTAGCCAAAAGTCATTTGCTATCTAAGGTTTGTAGAATGATATGCAGTTTATTATTATATTTCAATATATTTAATGTTAGAATTGATATATAATAAATTTATAAAATATATTAATCATTTATTTTATATTTTTAGTTTCCAGTCATTTCTACTTCTGGCTATACTCCTGTTGTACATCCTATTACAAACCACTGTAATGGTGAATTAAATATTTTGTTTGCATTAGGAACATTAGTGCAGGTAAAGTTTACTATTATTTTGAGTTAATTATATTAGAAATTTTATATGAAGTAGTTAAAGATCAAATTCAGTTCATGTTTTTGAAATTTCTTTGCTTCTTCTTCAGATTATTACTTATAATCTAATTAAAACTGCTTTAAATTTTATAATAATAATTTTTAAATTTAGATACTTCTGATATGCTGTTATAAACATTAAAGTTCTGTATATTGTTAAAAATTTTTTTACTAGAAACTATTGAATAATAATATTTATTGTCATTGTGTACCTTAACTATTTTTTCCAGTTAATTTTATAAATAGTTTATAGGCTTTCTCATTATAATCTGATTGAGGAGAAAAATAAGAGAAAGGAAAATATTTTATTAACAGTTATTAAATTTTCTGATTTATATAATAATGACATTAATATATTAATTTTATTTCAATTAAATAATATTTTTATTTAAAAATGCAAGCTTTTCTAATAATTTTTAAGTTTAATATATTTCTAGAGTACTAAAATATTAGTTAATTCTAATCATATGTGACTTAATTTAGTAATTTTTACTTGATTCTCCAATAATCTAATTTATATCAATTAAAAAATAATCCAAGTTAAATTAGAAATCCTACAGTTTTATGTGGAATCTAAATAAGACAGTATAAATATTTAAGTAAAAACATTTTTTTCTTTACAGATTGAAAATGCAATTGAAAAATATTCACAAATAGAATCTGAAAATAAAAATGAAGCCATGACAGAATTTAAAAATACAGTTAATAAAGAAAAAATAGGATTAAATGAGAAACTTCATAAGTCTAATAATAAAGGTGATTTCTTTAGTTCAATCAAAAAATAAAATTTTTTAAATAATAAATATAAAAATCTTTAAAATTCAGTTAAGAAAAAAAAATTCAATTAAGGCAGTCTTTCAATTTTTCTAGTCAGACAAATTTTTTCTTTATTTTAAAATTTAGTTATTTATATTTAAAGAGAACACTTTATAACTTAGTTTAGAAAAATATACATCTTAACTTAAATTTCTTCTTATTATTATTTCTATTATTCAGAAAAATTTTAATTATTTTATTCTATTTTTATAATGAAAACTTAGCTTTCAATAAATTTAGTAAATTTATATTTTTTTAAATAATACTTTATTTAATAAATGGTAGGAGAATTGCTTTAAAAAAATATAAATTTGCCAAATTTACTGAAAGCTAAGTTTTCATTATAAAAATAGAATAAAATAATTAAAATTTATGTAAGTAATAAATGTAATATAGTAATATTTATTAAATTACATAATGTTTTCTTTTAGTTTATATATTATTTAAACAATAAGTTTAAGTTAAGATATATATTTTTCTAAACTAAGTTATAAAGTATTTTCTTTAAGTATAAATAAAAACCTTCACCAGACCAGAAAAATTGACTGTTTTTAATTTAATTAATTGAATTTTTATTTCTCAGCTGAATTTTAAAGATTCTTATGAATATTTATTTATTTAATATTTTATTTATATAACTTATTTTTTTCATTTTTCAACAGAAATCAAGCATTTTATTGAATTCTCAATTGAAAGTTTAGGTGATTTAGAAATAAATAAAGACTTGATTTGGGGTGAAGCTGAATGTTATATGACTTATTGTTTTCCTTCTCAGTACAAAGGTACATATTTAAATATTGTAAACACTTAATATAATAATTGTTTAATAATTTGAAATTTTTATAATTATATATAGTAAATAATTTTTTAAATACTGTAAAATATTTAATTTTGATTTACAGATAATATGGAAATTTGTTTGTTTAAGAGTGATATACAACTACTTATACCTAATTTAGCATTTCAGCATAAAATGAAACATACTTATATTTTAAAGGAAAATGAAAATATATGTAATATATTGTTAAAAGGTCAGTTTATTTAATAAGCTTTATTACAATTCTTTAGTTGACTAGTAATTAAAATAAATTTTCAGTCTTGTATAATGAAAATTTATTTCATATAACAGAGTGAAGTTCAAGAAAAATATTGTATTATATTACATTAAGATAGGCTCTATTAAAAGTTCCTGTTAAGTTTATTGAGGGCTGTTTTGTATAACTTATGTCATTTATTAGTTTTTTCTATATGTCAATAGATTGATAGTTAATTTTATTATAAATAATTTGAATTTTATTGAATTATATATGAAATTCAAAGCTTTCAATTTCATATATTGTTTGCTAATTTTAACTGATGAACATGTCACAATTATAATTTTCTAGTAATAATATTTATAATAGAGAACTTAATTTTTATTATTTTGCATTCAATAACAGCATTTTTGCATGGAATTTATTTTTAATGTAGATTATGATAAAAAAATTATTAATAAGGATAGAGAATTAATTCTTGAATTAATTGAGTTTTTTAATGTTCATCATTCAGCAAAATTGAATGAACTGATATTTATGAATAATATGATATGATAATAATTTCTTATATTATATTATTATTATTATTATTATTATTAGATTTGAAATTTGGTACACAGTTAGGGTACGTTAGGAGAACGCACACTAAGAAGGGATTTTTCGAAATTCTTCCCCACGGGGGAGAGAGACATNTAATTTTTTTAATTAATAGATTTTATTATATATAAGTTTAATTAAGTCGGGGGGGGGTCGGAAATCGCAATGAAAATTTGAATTTTTTAAAAATATTAAAAAATATACGGCCAACTAGTATTCACCCTACTATAAACCCATCGCCTCCCGAGACTTCTATGAGAATGTCCCGGGAAATCCGACTCCAGCTGTTCTCAAGGTCATCCAGCTGTGTAAACAATGACTCATCAATGTCAAATTTCACAGAAAGGCGAGACAAAGGAAAATAAAATTTGAAGCTTTTTCTTCAAAATTAACGCATTTCTTTCGTTTTTTTCAGTTTTAAGTATTTTTTATGTTTAACTAGCTTACCCGTCGCGCATTGCTGCGATCTCAGAAGAAAGGAAATTCAAGCAAACTCGTTATGATAAAATTAAATTTTCATTTTATCACTTTTATTGAAACTTATTATTATTATTCATTTTCATCGGGAAAACATTTCAAAGTGTCATTTCAATTCTGTTTATTTATTGGAGTACTTGTAAATACACGATATTTTTTGTTTTTCCGCCTGGTGCGTACACGAATAAATCAGGTTTTCCGACGCGTGTGCGGGCCTCATACAATTGTCCATGCAAGAAGCATGGATTCTCCAAATTTAGCCCATACACTCGCAGCGATTGTCAGAAGTGCGATATTCCCCATTTTTATATATATATATTTTTATCCTTTATAATTTTANCATTCTACGGCACCTTCAGTACATAAATATTGTGCAAGTTTGTCACGTAACACTTTTGCGTCACAACTATATGTGTTAGATTTTTGCCAACCACATTTATGTAAGTGTTTTTGCTCATCACGCCATTGTCCCAGATTGACTGAATGATCCGAATCTTCTGTGTCGACAAAACCTGTTGGACAGTATGTTGTGCTGCTTTCGGTTAAAAAAAAATTATGTAACACGAGGGAAGCAGCAACAATCAAAGTGATTAAAAAAAATTATTATAAATATCGTAAATAACAGTTTACAAATGCATATATACAGATATTTTTTGAAGGGGGACAATGGTCTTTGCAATTTGAAATTGATCGAACACACTGTGCGCGAATGCTCGTGTAAACGCGCGCCATCTATCGTAGGGTAAATGCCAGAAAACTTCGCGGGAGTGTATTAAAAACTTCCCAAAGCTTCATGGCAATCGTACTATGCCACAAACCTTCGCCGGAGTATATTAAACAACTTCTCAAAGTTTCACGGCGGTCAGATAAACGGTGTGGTAATGCATAAAGGGGACACACACACACACACACACACACATTCATTTTTATATATATAGATTACATTAATATCAAAAATTGCCGGAGGCTTAAGGAGTTAATTTTTGCCATTCAAGATGAATCTTTGTGCCATTAATTCAAATCTTACACAAAACTTTTGTTCTGTTTTTTTTGCTTTTTGTTCATAAAATTTACATTCTAACATTTCTACTGTATTATTATTTTTGTGAAAAATTTGTTTGTTTATTAATAAATCTGCCACTTAAAGATTACTCAAAAGTCCTAAATAAACTAGTGATTTGTAAGAAAATTATTATTAAAGATAGTAAAATCAAAATTTGTTTTTGTTTTACATAGAAACTTCTGTTGATTTATTAAAAATAAAAACGTTAGATTTTTTAATTTTTATTTTAAGATAAATCAGATAGATAATAATTTTAAATTTCTTTACGTATTATATTGATCTGTAATATTTAAATATATAACTTTATATTAGATACTTTGTAATGTCATAAATACCTTTAAAACTTATCAAAAAATTTTTTCTGGATTTCAAAGATTTGATTTAATTTGATATTGAACTTTATTTTAATACAAATTAATTCTATTTAATCTTGAACAGAGGCAGAGCATTTAAAGTGCTAATATCTGCAGAAGGTTTTGTTTTATTTATGATAAATATATATATCTATTGCTTATTTGTTTGGAAATTTAGGAATAATTTATCATAAATTGCTGTAGACAATTAATACAATAAGAATTTTGTTTCTTTACATTAATTTTAGCATAAACATTTTATTTTTTTTATTTAATATTTAAATATGAATTATTTTTAAACAACAAACTTATAAATATTTATTTTACAACTTTGAATAAATAGAATTTACATCACAGAAAAATGAAGATAGTATTTTAATGAAACAACTTCCTATCAAGTTATGGGGGAGTTTTTATAATCCGTATCAAAGGATTGAATTACTTGCATCAGTAAGTAATTTAATTTATTTAATTAACATTACTGTAAACACAACAGTTTGTTTATTATTTTTAAAATATTGTTTTCCTAATTTGAAACCATGTCTGCCTTTCTATTTTGTTTACATCACACAATGAATTGAAATACAATTGACACAAGGTTTTTCTTTACATCCTTCTTTAATCTGCTTTTTATTTGCCAACAGTCTATACTGACCAATTTTTTATTAGGCTTTAGATCATTAATGTAAATTATAGCATATCTGTTTAATTTTACAGGTTTTAAAAATTTATTATGTCTTTTAGATTAAAGTATACCATCATTAAATATCATTATAAGTTTATAAAATTAATTTTTAATTAATACATGTAAAAATATATTTCAGTAATAGTTTACAAATAAAAATAACAACAACAACAATAAAAAGTTTTGAATCTATTTTTATATGTAAAAATGGAGAATATATTTAAATTTTGAATTTTAAATATTACTTTTATTATATTTACAGACTTATTTATTATTAAATGATGTATGCAGTTTTATCCAGACTGATACAACTGATTCCGAGGAACCAATATATAAAACTTACAAATTACCTTTTCAAACAAATTTTACAAATTCTACAAGATTAAAAGTTGATCACATAAAAATTAATCTTAAATATTGGAAAGGAGATGCTAATATGGTAAATATTTTTCTATTTAACAGTTTTTTTTAGATAATTAATTGAAATAAATACTTTACTAAAATCTTAATGTATTTATACTTTGTAGGGGTCAAGATTTACTGAAAATGATCATAATAATACAAATAAGACAAACAATACATCAGTTCATTCTGCATTGGAAGCTGATCATTCAGTTCAGTTGGATTTAATTGAAATTTTAGAAGATCCAAGTCTAGAAAAATCATTAGAAGTGAATGGAAAAAATGATGTAGTAACTAATTTACCAAAAAATAATAATGAATGTACAATGGAGAAACCAGAAAAAGATGCCTCAGTGTCAAATAAAACATACAGTAAAAATTTAGTAGCAAAACACAATTATTCTGACATAAACTCCGGAATTTCAGATATGCCGTTTTGTAGTAAAAACAATGATTTTGTATTTTATACACACATTTTTATAGAAAGAGCTCTCCATTTGCCTATGGTAATGAAAAAAGAAAGGTATACATATTAACATCATTTGTTTCTCTTTTTTTTGTTTAATATGTTCAAAATTTAAACTGTCTTATTATTAAATATTGAATATATTATAGCTCATAATTAATCCTTCATTTAAATAACATAAGATATTATCTCATTTATAAGAATATATGCTATATACTTACAAAAAAGACCAGCATTTTTATTAATAATTTGAAAAAATACAAACAGTTTAATTATTTTTTTTATTATTTACTGTTTACAAAATTTACTTTAATATCATAAAAATTAAATAAAATTTAATTTAAAAATATAGAAACAATTATATATATATACATTCATAATTGAATATTTTAAATTAGTTAATTTGAAACATTTTTAAGTGATTTTTTTAATGAGGTTGTCAACTTTGTTTTACTGTATTTTGTATTTTTTAAAGCTAGTGAGAAATATTTTTACTATAATATTGTTATTGTAAGAATATGATAATTGTTTAGTGTGTAAGAAATATGTTTCTTAAACATAATTATTAAATTTTCTATATTTTATTGATATTCAAATAACTTTTTTATTTTAATGTATTTTTAAACTTTATTTTATATGATAGTTAAATTTTCTCCTTGTTTTTCAGGATTAGTATTTCTCCTTCACCTTATGTAACATTTAATATAAATAATGAAGAATCTTTTTACACAAATATTGTAAATAATAACTGCAGTCCTGTTTGGGATTGGCATCAAAATGTCTCATTTAAGATGATAAGTAAAAATCAAGAAATGGTAAGTTTTGGTCTTTAGTTATTTATCTTTAATATGTTTCACTGATGGCTGTATTACAGAAGTTATTTGTAATGAATATGGAATGTGTATTATGTTATATTTATATAATTTTTAATTCGTTTATGGTTTATGAAATATTTCATAGAACTTGGTGTTTAAAATATGGCATGCAGCAGATGAACATGCAAATTCTCCTAGTAAGTACTTAACTATTTATATATTTTGTATCAGAAAATTTAATTATTTAAAATTTTTTTATTTTACTAAGATGTGAATCATTTGGTAGTAAATGAATATTATTTGAATCATAAGTAAGAAATGTTATGAAATTAATTTTTATTAGTAAATTTTGGAATTTCTTTTATATTTTCTTATACAGTACAATAATACACTTAAACCTCTATGATTATCTCTAAACAGCAGTCAGTTTTTTCCAACAAAAACTGTATATAAAATAACCTCCAAATGTCCATCTTTAAACAAAGGTCACGTTTTTTCTTTACATGGCAATTGTTCAGAGGTTTGACTGTAATAATGTACTCATAAATAATTAATGTGAATTTTCAGATGTTGGATCAATAAAAGTTGTGCAATGATAGAATTTCTTATATTATCTTAACTTATTTTTTTTGATAGTTAGTCTTTCTACTATATAGACAGAAAACTTCATAAACTATTATAGAAACAAGTTTATAATACAAGTTCAAAATGTATTATAAACTTATTTCTGTCATAGCATAATACATTATAAACTTTATGTTATAATATTTATAAAATATTAATTATTTTAAGATGCTGTTTTTTTATATAATTGTTAGTTCTTGTTTCACTTTTATCATTTTTATGACTATTTTATATTGAACATTAATAATACAATGGCCTATGAAAATATGTATATATTGAAATTATTTCTATCCAATAATAATAAGTATTTTTGACAGCATCAATATGGGAATTAAGAAATAAGTAACATTATCAGAAATATTTTGTTTTTAAACAGAAAAGCATATCATTTTGTTGTGTTTTAATCTATACACTTTCTTTGATACATGTATTAAATGCAAACTGATGCTCAAGTCATTGTAACAGAAATTACATCCATAAAATTTCAATTTTAAATTTTTGTTCTGAGTATTCAGAAGTGTTTTATTATGTAGACTAAAACGTTAGCATCTGTTTTTATATTTTTCAATTAGAGAATGTATTCCAAATTGGCAGCAGTTTATATTTTCAACTTCATTTTTGAATGCATGTTTAGTATTACTATTTCATTTGATTTATAATTATGTCTTAAATATATAAATTGATTCAAAGTTCCTTTAATTATAACTAATTGCTTTCTCAGAAGTTAAAAATTACAATAATCCCAAATATTTTCAGATTAAAAATCTGTTTTAGGAGTTTTTAATGCTGATTTAAATCCATCACTTACAGTATATTTTTTGATTATAAACTTTTCAGAAGCCAGAAGTATCTTTTATTAAATTAACACCTCAGCAATCTGGCCAGTCAAGAAATATATATAGGGTATGTTTGTAAAGTTGAACGACTTAAGTGCATTACTAACGAGTTGGTGGTAAAGTACAAATTCCACTCAGTGCATATGCTCGATGTTGGTGATGTTTGAAATGAAACTCTAATGAAAATTACAAAGGAAATAGTTAGTTTACTTTGTGAAGAAAATGGTGTCTGGCAATATTGATGCTTCTAAATCTACTTAAATGTTTAAATTGTGGATTAAAAGGTGAAATGATACAAATAGCTGTCCACTTGAAGCAACCTCTGAAAAATATTTCAGTTAAGACTGCACTAGCAACATTCATATCTTCGATGTTTGAAACAGCCATTTTATTGTAAATGAATGGTCAAAATATCTAGTGAAAGTAAGAGTAATGTCAATGTCATTCTCATTTAACTCATTCAACTATATGAACATGTTTTTTTAACAGTTTTGTTTAAAATAACAACATATTGAAAAGTTTTTAATTAAAAATGAGCGATTGTTTTATTGTGACATTGTCACAATGCTGAGTTGCAATTTAATCGTATTTTTTAATTTAAAATATAAGCCTTCAAATTAGCAGTATCTTGTTCCTGTACATCATACTTTTTCTTTAGCAATCAAGTCATGCTGGTCATCTATCTAACTTCTTTCAGGGGGAATTTTTGAATTAAAATTGCGTGACTTCTGGTTTGCATTGGAAGTTTGTATATAGTTAATTAGGGTTTTTGTCTCCTAAGCTATCCATATATAATCTCAATTTCTATTTATTTAAATTTGTTATCAAGATTAAGGAAAGATAGGAGAACAGACAGAAATGTTTGATTTAAGATTGATTTTAGTTTTTGATCTGTAAATATTTGGGGGTCAATTCATAATAAATTTTATTGGTTTTGAAAAATTAAAATATATTATATAGAAATTATTTTCAAAATTTTATAATAAATATTTATTTACAGAAAACAGACAAAATACAAACCTACAAATAACATAAACCACAATTACAAAATACAAAACCTACAAATAACCATAATAAAACTAGAATAATTTGAAATAGTCCAATTAGATAATTTTTAAATTATATTTTTATTGCCTGATTTTCAAAGAAGAAATTTAAAATTGTTTGAAAAAAAATAATATTTTCAAAATGAATTAAAAATACTATTGAAAACAATTATATGACATAATCATTGAATATGAAAGTAAATAAATCATGTTAGAAACAAGTAAAATGGCAAAACCGTATTTGGGATAAGACTATGTCTCGGACACAGAATCACTTTGATGCTCAAGGCAGGTCTTGTTCTCATTCTCCTATCTTCTTTGATATCGCTGCTTTTGGGTGCGATCATTCAAACTTCACCGGCCATGACCACGAGATCGTCCACGATGCATCTTCGATGAAATTAACCTATCTAATTTCAAAATTTCTCTTTGCTGTGTGTTGGCCTGGGTTGAATTTTTGTCAATGCGTAATGAAATGTTCCCGTTTTTAAAAAAATAATCGTGGCTATTGTGTCGTCTGAAATTATTTTTTTATTTTGCACAAACGATATACAGTTTAACCCAATTATAATGTCATCGAATGTAACGACAACCCTAATATAATGTAAAATTTTTATCGGTCCTACGATTTTACTATACATTCGACCCCCCCCATAACACGGGTTCCTACAGTTCGGATTCTTATATCACGGTGAAAAAATTGCGACAGTATTTGTACAAACATGCTAAAAAAACTCCTATAATTCGGTAAAACGTCATCGCCGACTTGCATTGCGACAGGATTGCACAAACCGTTGAATTTAAATGAGCAGCGGACCTACTAAAAACCATTTATTATTTAACGTCCATAAAAATTATATTTATATTAAAGATGTCTCTAAAGTTCAGTGAATTTTTCGTAAAAAAAATAATTTATCAGGAAGCATGCGAGTTCCATTCAATGACAATCTCCATGACGAAAACAAGCTTAAGCAACGGCGTAGTTGAACGGTGCACACTCGGTAAGTAATCCTACAATTTTTTGTTTATGGCATAGTTTATATGGATTATTCCCAAAAAATTATACGTATTTTGGAAATGTTGAGTCAAATTAGTCTAATCGATTAATTTTATGGAAGAAACCTTTCAAACAGCCATTGTCCGTAAACTGCATACGTGCCGGGCTGTGATTGGCTGGACTCTTAGAAGCTGGATTCATAAAAACAGGAGCGTATCTACCTTGTTATAGGGGGGTCGACTGTACTAGATAATGTTAAAAAAAACCCACTTGTAACGACATAAAACCGTTTTAATGTCATATTTGAAGCACTCCCAAATTTACAAAATTAGATTACAAATTTTATTTAACATAGAAGAAACTACGTGTTCAGTCCTAAGGTCAGAGTTCACTTCTTAGAATGACTGTGGGTGGTACTCTCCCTTACCTGACTTCAGTGGGGTGAGGTGGCTGTTTTGCCTGTTTGTAGAAGAGGGTTGCCATTTTGTATTTTATTTTGACTCGATTCTTGGTCCCCCAATTACCTATGAGTCTGGATTTTTTTATGCGCAAATGATTTGGGCACCTAATACTCTGTGCCGAATATCAACTCTCGACACGTACTCCTTCATACCTCTATGCTGGTAAGAATATCGTGCAGTATGATTTTATAAAGAAGACATAGTCTTGTCAATAAGAAATAATTTGTAAAAAGTTAATAATAACATAATTAAATTAATAATATAGTGTCAGTTAAATAACTTTTTACATTATTTTTTCTAAAATCTAATTTATAAATGTGACTCCAAATGATGATAATTTAAATTTAGTAATTTGTTTTAAATGAATGTTTCTCACAAGTCAGTTAAAAATATTAAAATAATCTTTAGGATATTCCATTTTACATTAAATTAATATACAGTAATACCCCGACTTACGCGAACCCGGAGTTACGCGATTCATTTTTTGTTTGAGCGCCATGCAACCCTTGATTACTCACTCCCCCCACACTATTGTTCGGCTTACATGTTCGGATGTGTTGCGTGGAATCCACACATAGCTACAATTTATTTTGTGTTATTTATTTCTGTGTTTGTTATATCTACGGAGACTTGAGAGACTCTACTATGTCATCCAAACGAAGTAGAACTAATTCTTCTGCATCAAACAAGAAAAGAAAAACTTTATCTTTGGAATGTAAAGTTAACATTGGGTATGTTCGTAAAGTCGAACGAGTTAAAAGAGAATGACGACATCGTTATTCCTATTTCATTAGACTTTTCGAACAATTCGTTACTAACGCGTTTAACTCGTTTGACTTTACGAACGTACCCATTATTAAAGACTTCGATACAAAAATGAAAATTTGTGAATTGGCAAAGAAGTTTGATCTACCGGAATTGTCGGTCAGAACAATTATAAAAGGCAAAGAAAAAATTCTCGAAGCTGTGAAAAATGCTCAATCTTTAAATTCAAGCATCATTCGTAAACGTCACAGTATTATCGCTGAGATGGAAACAATGTTAAAATTATGGCGTAATAATCAAGTAAATGTGAAAAATTGTAAAATAATATAGGCCTAATTTGTTATACATATGTATTATCTAAGATTTTATTAAACATTTTTTTCTAAATTATTGTTTTCTTTAGTCTCCAGCCCCAATTAAAAATTATTTGTATGTATTTATATGCGAAATTATACCCCGACTTACGTGAGTTTGACTTACGTGGTTACCGCTCGGTCCCACCTATTGCGTAAGTTCGGGGTATTACTGTATTTAAATTTTTAAAGCTTTATTAAAAAATATTAAGTATATTTTTTTTAGTATTTATCTCTTAAGAATATCTTTCAAAATATTCTATAAAACTCAAATTGTGTGCTAAGAAACTTTCTCATAGTATTGAAAATGAAATTATAATTATTCTGAATAAATTATTCTGACTTTTATGAACTAATAACGCTTTATCAAATTTTATTTTATTTTATTTATTCTTTTGCTTTAAGATATTTCTCTGCTTTATCTCAGCTCAAGTAAAGTTTTTCATTTAAATTTTTTGTTATACTTTTAAAACTTGCTTTAACTTAAACAATTTTAGTTCAAGATTGCTAATTATATACGAGGAAACATTCAATGAAAATTAATGAATAGAAGAAAAGAATTTTCCTAAAGATTATAGCTTTAATAAACATGTATTATCCTTTCTAATTGTATTTGTTTCTTAATCAATAATTTAATCTATTTTTTTTTATAAAGTTGTTTTAATTAATATAATTATGTAGAAATTAGTTATCAAAGAAAATATTCTTTTCATAAAACCAATACAAATTAACAATAATGTCATTATTATTAATGAGAAAGAATCTTTTTAATATTTCTTTTAACTTTAATTAATTAAATTAAAAATTCAAGTATTAAAAATCTTCAATATAAACCTTTATTGATTCAAGTTTGTACACTTTTTTGAAAATTTATAGCACTTAGAAATTAATAATATATATAAATGAGAATGTTTGTTTGTTTGTTCCCTATACAATTCTAGACAGTTCAACCAATTGCTATGAAACTCTGTAGTTATGTTTACATACTTCTAACTTAGATAATGTTGTACATACCACCCCAAAGTATCTATTGGATTTCTGTAAATCAGTTAATTTCTGTCTACATTCAATTTGCTGATTTACACATAGAGCCATCATATTGGCAAAAAATTATCAAAATAATAAACTAAATATAATTCTTATAAAAAAAGAGGATATAATTTTAAAATATATATATTATATTCATTTAATTACTGTGACAATGATATAGTGCAAAATAGATGCGCTATATCATTACTGTGGCAGGTAGCATATAGCACTTGTCTGCATGGAGTGGAAAGACTTTTCCTGTGAAAAGTCTATGTATTTAATTTTCCACGTCTAATGACTCATTTCATTTGACTATTATTTGATAATACAGTCAAATCTCTAAACAATAGCCACTGGTGGAAACTTATAAAATGCCCGTTGTTTAGAGTTTATTTTGTATGCAGTTTCCTGATAAATGCTCACCATTTAATGATGCTGTTATCAGAAGTTTTGCTATTTTCTATTTAATTTATCATCTTTGTAACATTAAAGCACTTGCATTGCATATGGTGATGGATAATAACTTATATGATAATACAGTACTTTTATTTACATATCTGTTTAAATTTTTAATGATGAATTCTATAATATCAGAGTGACCAAACTGCAGCTCTTCTAGATGCTTATTACAGCTCTGTTACAGTTTTTATAAACTTTGTAAAGCATTTACTCCACTTAGTTTACTCCACTCCGCAAAGTAAGCCAGGGGAGTCAGTCTTAGGGTTAGAAGTCTAAATTTTGTGTCATTTTTATCTCTCTCTCTCTCTCTCTCTCTATATATATATATATAGCGAGAAATAAGTAATAAGTTTCACACTCCAGAGAGCTCTGGAGTGCATTCTACTGCTTGAAATGAGACAAAATTTGTACTACAGATAATTCAAATGATGCACTTGACATTTCTTAAATAAAAAAAAAAAACGGTAAAAAAATCCATCGATGGTGCTGGAGCACACAGAAATATTGAATATGCATGCATATATAAATGTTGAATATGTAGCACCAAAACTGCTCAATATGTCCTTTATTTTGAACAATGTGCTCTAATTGCAAAACCATACTAAAACAGCATTTCTCAGATGCAAGGTAATCAGCCATTATTTTCCTACAGCATGGCCTCCTCGCCAGATATCACCCCTTGCAACTATTGGTTATGGGGTTTCCTGAAGGACAATGACTACTGTAGAAGACCTGCATATGTGCTAGATCTGAAGGACAGCATTCGCACAATGTTCTGGATATTCTGGCAGACTGACTGCATTCAACTGTGGAAAATATGGTTTTACAATTAGAGCACATTGTTAAAAATGAAGGAGAACATATTGAGCAGTTTAGGTGCTACATATTCAACATTTATATGTGAACGCATATTCAATATTTCTGAGTGCTCCAGCACCACCTATCAATGGACTTTTTTACTATTTTTTTATTTAAGAAATGTCAAGCGCATTGTTTGAATTATCTGTAGTCCAAATTTTGTCTCATTTCGAGCAGTAGAACACACTCCAGAGCTCTCTGAAGTGGGAAACTTATTTCTTGCTAACCCTGTATATATACAGGATATAGGTTATACATAAAATATTGATTTAATAGAAGATTTGTGTGTCTCATATTTCTGCTACACAGTATTTGGCTCCCATCCTGACAAGGTATAGCCACCACTGTATAAATAATAAATAAATAACAAAATAAAGCATTTTTTTAAAATTAATTGCAATTATACTTTATGAGAATAATTTTTTTGGTCTCTAAATGTATGTTTTTGTAATCATGCAATTATTTTATTTGATGTATAAATCATAGACATTAAGTTTAAAATTTTATTTTTTTAATCTTTTTATTTAGTTAAATGTAGGTAAATGGAGAAAATAGTATGTGTTTAAACAGTTGTATATAAATAATGTTTGGTAAACAAAGAAAGATTGATAAATTACATGTTTATATTTCATTGTTTGATTTACTGTTAAAATCTTTATCTAGATTCTACTGCTGATAGAGTTCTAGGATTTGCTTCTGTTGACTTCTCTCTGCTTTTTCATGGATTAAATCAGATATCTGGATGGTATAATGTTATGGATATAAATGGAAAGTGTCAGGGACAAATAAAGGTAAATATTTACAAAAATTATTTTATAATATGAATTATTTGAATAAATTACAAAACCTAATAATTGAAACTATTCACAAATTTATTTGGATAATTAGGTTATATTTTAATTGGTTTTTTTTTAAGTTATAAAACAGGACATACTCTATTGAAATTTGAAATTAAAAATTATTAATTTTGGAACCATTAAATTAATTAATATAAATATAAATAATACATTTAATACTAAATTAAAGAAAAGAAAATTTTAAAAAATTATATCTAACAAAATATAATTTTATCTATATTATATTAAATTATATAATTTAGTTATTTTATATTTTCAGATCAGTATTATAGCGCAAAACAAAGAAATGTTTCAAGAATGCACAAATTGCGTGATACAGGTAAACAGTTGTTTCTAAATTTATTTCTGTTTATTTTCTTTTGTTTACATTTGTTACTATTACTTTTTGCATTACTGTTAGTTTCTTTCTCTCTGATAGAATCCAATGAATTTTGAAATATCATTTAATATTTATGAGAAAAATTATTATATTAATAGAATTTCAAGATTAGGTATGAATAACAAAAAATAATTCTAAATTATAAGAAAGGAATTTACTTTTAATTTTAAATTTGTTTGAATAGATTTTATAGTCTAGAAAATGAAAGATATTGTAACATATTTACATACAGTATACTTCTGATTATCTGGGATAATCACTGGTAATGAAGGCACAGAAACATGGATAATCTGCAAGTCTGTTTTACAAAGGCTAATTGATTTTCCTTTTATTTAGTTTTTGATTTCATACAGAAACAGAAAATTCAGAAAAATATATTGAGGTTGTGATTTTCTAGTTCAATTTTTTGTATTATTAATCAAGAATAACAGGTTTCCAGCTATATATTATTGTAAAATGTTGTTAATGATTTATTTATTGGTAAGAAAATGAATCAAAATATTTTATTAAAACAATTTTAAAACTTATTTAATGAAAAAAATTAATAAGAAATACAGTATTGTTCAAGAATCAACTGTAATTACTGTACTTGTTAGGCTATTTAATTTATGCCTTGATTTTCTGGAAGTAGTCTAATGCTCGACATAGCATTTTAAATAGTAAGAGTTAACAACGCAGATTTTTTAATTTTAACGTTAATATTTTTATTCCTTTTCAACATTTTTTAACATCATAGATAAACAAGCAAATCTTCATATATATTAAAAACAGTTTAAGGAGTCAGGTTTATTTGGATAAAACATTTTTCAGGATAGCAACATCTTATCATCAGATCCAGTAGTTTTCAAAAAAATAGAAGTTGAATAAAAAGTCACCAGAGTGTTCTGAAAACCAATTTCCAGCACTTTGGTTGCTATCTCAAAAGTCATTTTTCCCAAATAAACCTGATTCCTTGAATTGTTTTTAGTGTGTATGGCAACTTCTTTGATAATATATATTCAAATTTTCTTTATTGGAACATAAGTTTATCAATATAACTTATTTTTATAATGTTTATAATTTTATAAATGTTACTGTGTATTTTTATATTTATTTATGTGTATTTATGAATAATAAATGGGGAAATTTATAATTATTAAAGCTCTATCTATGTATTCTTATTAATTTTGTAATTCTTATTAGTTTACAAATTATGCAGTTAAAATTACATGCACTAACTCGATTGCTAATATATTAATTTCTTCACCAAATTGCACATTAACTTTATCTTTATGATTTTGTAAAGTTTTTATATAAATTTTACTAATTGTTTATTAAAATTTTTAAATGTTAATATAATCATTATTATATTCATTTGAAATTTGCAAATAAATTTACATGTTAAATATTCAATAAAATATATTGTATTAAAATGTTTTAATCTCATAACACTTAACAGAAATTACTTATTAATAAATAATTTTCTTGACATATTATTGGCATTTGAAGTTTATTACTTGTGGCATACAGAGATTATTACTTATAAAAATTGTGTTTTATTGATTTATAAAGTTTATTTATTAATAAATGCCTTCTGTTTTGTATTTTGATATCAAAACTTTAATAGTTATTAGTTGAATAATTAATATTGTTGCAGTAATACTGTTCTGTACTTTAAATATTTACAAATTAAGATATTTAATGTTTGTTTTCATTTTAATTATCTAAAATAATTTACACTGTTGCCTGTTTATTTTTTACATCACTTTATATTGTGATTTATAAAACATATTTACATAAATTTTACTACATACACTGTACAAGCTTATAATTTTATTTGATGTATAAATCATAGACATTAAGTTTAAAATTTTATTTTTTTAATCTTTTTATTTAGTTAAATGTAGGTAAATGGAGAAAATAGTATGTGTTTAAACAGTTGTATATAAATAATGTTTGGTAAACAAAGAAAGATTGATAAATTACATGTTTATATTTCATTGTTTGATTTACTGTTAAAATCTTTATCTAGATTCTACTGCTGATAGAGTTCTAGGATTTGCTTCTGTTGACTTCTCTCTGCTTTTTCATGGATTAAATCAGATATCTGGATGGTATAATGTTATGGATATAAATGGAAAGTGTCAGGGACAAATAAAGGTAAATATTTACAAAAATTATTTTATAATATGAATTATTTGAATAAATTACAAAACCTAATAATTGAAACTATTCACAAATTTATTTGGATAATTAGGTTATATTTTAATTGGTTTTTTTTTAAGTTANTAACATTACTTATATATATATATATAAATGGACGTGTGTGTCCCTATATTTCACTTTTCAGCCAAAACTACACATGAATGGTGTTTGTATGTGGTAGTAGCCACAAGTTTCCATTCATGCACTATGGTGATTGCGTCTTGATAGCTATAAGGGTGCGGGAGATATGGGTTTAAAGTGGTTGAAAGTGGAAGATTTTCTATTTTGATTTAAAAAATTTTTGAATTCGAATTCGAATTGGTTCGATTATAGAACGATTGTAAACGTTCCAGAAAATTGATCAAATTGAAAATAGTTCGTTTGACTGGACGTAAAAATTCTCTAATTAGTCTGGAAACGGGGAACCTAATTCTTGCATTCTGTGAAAACGGGTAAGATTAGCTATAATGTAATTATCTTAATCTTCACTATCGTTACTTTTTGCCCACAAATAAAAACCTAGCAAAGCGGGTTCTTGCAGCTAGATTCTAGATTACTTAGAAAAACAGTCTTTTATATATATAAAAAAAACTAGGTTCGCTAGATTTTTATTTGTTTGTACAAATGTACAAACAAATAAAAACCTAGCGAAGCGGGTCCTTGCAGCTAGTTCTTACATAAAACTATAAGATAGAATTGTGTGAAAGTGTTTCTTCAAGAAGGAACTAATAAAATCAGAATATAAGTTCATAACTTATTGATATCTTATTAGTTTCATCTTCATATAATTTTATAAAATGCTTTAATCAATTGTATTCAATATTTAGAAGAAAAATGATAATCTATCAATTATTAGCTAAGTATTAGCAAAGTTTCTTCTATATGGCTTATATAATTGAGTTTGTTCTCAAAATTAATTTGTCGACTTTGATTAAACTTTGTCATTTTATGTAATATGAGACTAGGAAAAATAAAATGTAATAAAAATCTGGCACCCATGATTTCATGTTTGATGAGGTCATTAGCATAAGCACATGCAATTTTTTTTTAATATTCTTTTTTTCTGCTAGTAGTGATGTCACTACCACTGCTGTGGCAAGTGATTTTTGCGGATGGCCCTCCAAAACAATATTTCATTTGGCTTGCCTTAAAAAAAAACAAATAAAGAAAATTCTTATGCTAAAGCAAATTTTGCCGTTGCCCTGGCAAAACACCATTGCCATGACATTAATTTTCAATCAATAAAGTGAACAAAAATTTTACCAGAATTTGTTGAAATGAGATGTAAATTACCTTTGCAGCACCCCAAGATATAATCCTATTTCCAACAAGCAATTATTTATTGCGATATTGTCACAATGCCAGGCTGCAATTTTTCGTCACAGTGCACATTAATAGTGTCTTGCCCCTGTACTGTACATCATACTTTTCCTGTTAACAATGAAGTTATGCCAGTCATGTATCTAACTCTGTTTAGGAGAAAATTTTTAAATTGAAATAACATGACTTTCAGTTCAAACTGAAAGTTTGTATACTTAATTGAAACTTCCTGATCCTAAGCTTTCCATAGCTAGTCTTGACTTTCATCTATCTAACACCATTCTTGAGATTAAGGAAGGTCAGACACACAGATGGACGATTGTGGAAATTTATGGGTTTACAATTTTTTCAAATTGCACCAAAATAATGGTTGCTTTTTACACTTTTTGACATGAATGATACAAAGTAGTACTGTAATAAATGTTTAATTTTATCAGTAATCAGTCTGTGTTATAAATACATTTTTGTATATAAGAAGTAGAATTTATGCTTGTATAAAGAAGTAGAATTTATGCAATAGCTTTCTTGTTGAATTGATTGGTTTTTATTGCACTCTTCTTGATTATTCTGATGTATGTACATTGTTGTAAATAGCATTTCTAAATACAGCTATTGAAATGATTTCCACATTTTGTTTGATAGATTTTTTTTTTTTAATTGTTGTTGAAGAATTCAGCATTAAAAAGTTTCATTACTTGAAGGTTATTCCAAAACTAGAAATTTGAAAGATCTGACAAGCGTTTAAGTTATAGGTAAATGCTTATTAATTACGTAGTTATCAATTATTTTATTTTATTTTTTTTAAAGTGATGTACAGATTTAGGCAGTTGTGCCCCCATTATTGTAACAAATGTCCTCGTCAATAGGAGCAGCTGCAGTAGGAGTGGTAGAAATGATTTCTAGACTAGTTTCAGTTGTGGTGATGTTTAATTCTTTAATTCAAATAGAATATAATTTTTGCATACCTTTTGCTTCTAAATGTTTTCATAACTACTGTATAACTTTAAATATCTGGCCAATTTATTAGCATTGCATATTTGTTATTATTTATCATCATAATCAAATGATATAATATGATTTTTATTGGTGGACTATTCTTTTCTATGGCAAATTGTTTGAATTGTTTTTTAATAAAATTCATTGATCAAGTTTTAGTTTTTATCAATTATTAATTTTTTTTAATACAAAAACTTAAGAAAAGTAATCATATGTACTTAGCATTATCATTTCTTGAATCATAAGGCAGTGTACTTCAGTTAATTTTAAGCTGAGCTGTTGCATTGGAAGTGAATTGAAACTCCAAAATTATCGTAAAATTTCATCTGAAGTTCACTGGATACAAAATTTATTGAATTAAGTCATTTATGATGGAAAACATTTTCTACTACAAATTAAATATACCAGTTTTGCCAGATGGTAATCATCCACATTCAAAGATCATGGGGAGAACTTAAAAGTTTATATTTTAGGCTTGAGACAATGTGGCAAATTATTACATGAAATGGTCCTAATTAAAAATTGAAAACGTTGGTCCAAAAGTTGTATTTCCAATTGAATCTCACCGAAATTCAATTAATGCTCTTTGATAGAAATTTTTATTGCTGTAATATTCCAGTCTGCCAATTGGTGTTTTAACTCCAATAATGAAAAATGTTATGATTAAAAGAAATTTTATAGTTTATAAATGTTTATAAAGTAAAAAAAAAACAATTTTCTATCCTTTTTTATCTGGTTATTTTACATGGATTTTGCTCACTATTAAGTTTTTGTAAAAGGAAAGGACTAATTTTACCAAATAACTGTTGAGTTTTATTTTTCTCTCTTCATTTTTCACAAGTTATAGCTTACATTTCTAATAAAATTCTTTCAGAATTAATATCTGTTTTATGTTTGATTTTCTTGATATTGTATAGTCATCAAATTAATCTTTTTTCTTTTTTAACTTTTAGCACAAACATTTGGTAGTGCTGAAATGGCAAGAGCCACATTAATACCTGTATGAAATTTTTAAATATCTCATACAAATTTAATCAATTATTAAACAAATCCAGTTTAAGTTCTTTAAATATTACTATTAAATAATAGTATTAATATATAATAATGTTTACGTACATTTTATTTGAGTTTATAAAGACTATTCCTTTTATACGCAGTAATATCCTGACTGTTCATTATCATTATAAATTCATTATTTTTTACATTATGTAATAATTTATAAAAAAACCAAGCAAATTATCAGTACTTTGAAACTTCTTATATTTCACGTTTTCTGAAATAAAAATATTATAGTTAATATTAAAATATTAGATAAAAACATAATAAAAGTATTTTTTTCCTTCATATTTAGGAAAGAGATTGGAATAATAGTCAGATTATTACTTTAGATAGCAAACAGTTATCGGAGACTACACAAGAAATAAATAATTTTGTCCATAAATCATTAAAGTAAGTAATTTTTTTTAATAATTACTTATTGATCTTGATGCTAAATTTGATGCTTTTAATTTCATGCTTTTAATTCTTAAAATCTGTTTTAAAATAAATTTTACTCAAAGGAGATTTTTGGGAAGCTTCTTACTAGTATAAAAATCACAATGACAACAAAATTATAATGTAAAAAATAAACATTTAATAAAAACAAAAGTATTTTTGCACATTCTATAATTTTTATATACCTATTCATGAAAGTAAACATCTAATTATTTTTATTATATTACTCTAATAATTAAAATTTGTATATATTCATTTATATTTACTTATGTCAGAAGCTTATTTATAGAATACAGTTAGAATTATTTGCACCCTAATATTAGGTTATTCATATAATCCTATTTAAAATACAAGATAAATGTATTTCTTGTTATAGAACGAATTTATTCTATTTAAATAGGGTAAATCGGCCACATGGCCAAGTTAGTTAAGGGTCAGCCTGTTGCTCTGGGGAACCCAGGATTGAATTCGGATCAAAAACTCCAAGAATTTTTTGGCATTCAGTCTGTCTGTCACCAGTCAGCCACCCTATTGAGGGTCAAATGTTAGTGCCTGTACAGGGAAAAAAGGGAAAATTTTTTTTAAAATTTAAGCATTATCTAAAACATGATTTATTGTCCTTATAATTTTTTTAAAAGTTAATTTTGAAATTTATTTTTGATGATTTTATTTGTTGAATTAAGATCAAAATATGTTTCAAAGAAAAAGGAATTACTCGAGAAAAGATTAAAGTAACTTTTTAATTCTTTTATTTCTTTGTACGAAAACTGATTATACTATATATTTTTATTTAAATGTATAGAAAAGTTTTATATAAGTCACTTAATCAAATTGCATTTAGACTAAAAAGCAATATAAATTCACATAGATTTTATTTCGTTCTGAATTAAATTTTGCCATGTTTTGAGAATTTGTAATGAAATTGCGATTAAAGTAATTTAGTTTTCTCGTTGTTTTAGTAGAAAATTGATCATAAGAAAACTTAGTAATTTAATTTGAAAATAGATGGATTAATCAATTTGATAGTTTTATTTTTCATTTTAGCATTTTAGTTTTGATCGGTTTAAAACAAAATAATACATTTATTTATGTTTAAATTTAAATACCAGTTTAGTTTGGATAAAGTTTAGATTTCATTTTTTTTTAATTGTTTACCTGCCATTTATATACCTCATTATGCTTATTTTTGAAATAATTACATCATTTTTACATCTCTAGAAAGATTTTAATATAGTTTAAAATGTGTTGCATACATTTGCTTTTATTCCTGTTCACAGTTTTTATAATTAGAAAATAATTTTTCTTACCTTAATGACTAATATAACTTTTTTTTTTTCCTTAAGATTTTACAAAATTTAGTTTTAACAATTTTAGTTTGTTGTATGACTTTATACTATTAACAAAATCATCTATCATTCAAGTTCTAATTCATTTCTAAATTACTTTTATGATCATTAGAAACTAAAAATTTGTTTTTGACAACAAAAATCTGTATTGATTTTACCTAACACATTTAAATATTTTTCTTACTTTCTGTTTCTTGATGACAACACATTGTAATTATATTTTTTAAATATTTAAAATTTTTTTTTTACTACAATTATTATAAAAGTTTTGAAAATGTAAAAAAATTAAGATATATTTTTAAATAAATTTATAATTTCAAGAAAAATATATTTATTTCATATTAAAATAATAATATACATTTTACTATTCTGATCAATATTTAAACACTGTGGAAATAATACAATCTTCTCATTTGTAAATATTCAAACTGTTCCTTCTCATAACAATATATTTGCAATTTTTAATAAAATTCTGACAATTAATTGTATTTATTTTATTTAAGAATGAGTTAGGAAGTTTATTTATAATTTCCTAAAGCAATATAAAGTAATATAAATTTCTCACTCGTTGAAGCATGTACAACTACGTTTCAACACACACAAAAAACAAAAATATACATAAATAATTAAAAAAAATGTCGATGCTAAACAGAATTCTGATAAATAATACATCACATCTTTTATTAAATTCTAAAATTAAAAAAATAATTATATATATATATAAAGAATTGAATTTTACCTTTTTATTTTTTTGATAATTTTTTTTCTTTGTATTACATATTTTGAAATTAATTGACATTATAAAAATAATATATAAATATTAAAAAATTTCAGTCGTCAACACGAAATATCAAAGTAAATGTAATTTTCTTCAGAAAATTAATAGTAATTTCTATTTGCTTTCCAAACAAAATTCTGAATAATATTTATTTAGGAAGTTAATATCTATTATTATGGTAGTGTTTTCAATTAAAAAATGTTTACGGTTTAAACTTCAATTTAGTGCCAGCATTTGTTTACCTCTGAAATTGGCACTAAATTGAATGTGCCACTAAACTGAAAAGTTTAAAGGAAAAAAGAGAACTATATACACACAGACGCTTCAGTTGAGAGCTTGAAAGTTATGGGATTTAACAGAAGCCATATTAGAATGATTTTAACAACTGCGTGTGCTATATTTATATACTATTGTGTATGCATATCATTACACAAAGATGTATCTATATCTTTCGATCCTTACATGATAGGAAATTTTAAAGTGATTTTTGAAATCAGGAGGATTTTTTTATAAGAATCACCTATTTTAATGCCAGAGATATAACAATAAACATTCTTTTGTTGGGTAGTGTATTGATAGTTTAAAGTATTTTCTTTAATGCATTTACTATTAAACTTTGAGTTAATTATATTTTTAACTATTGATTTATGTTTTTTTTTTTTTATTTCTATCATTTGCAGGATAAAAATTTTAAAATATTCAACTTGGATAAAATAGAAACAAAATATTGTAATTATATATATATTTTAAATTAAATTAATTTATTTATTTATTTATTTTTCATGGCTAAAGATTTAATGAAAGATAATTAAACATAAATGAAAAATTCATGAATTTGCTAAATTAGTTATAAAGCACAGAATGAAAAGAAATATCTAACAACAAAATTTTAAAATTAGTATAGTGTTTTAAACCAGTTTTTTTATTTTCATTCTTTATACAAGAATATAAAATATAAACATATTACACAAAGAAAATTTTTGTTTACAATTTAAAAATAATATCAAACATGTTGAAATATTAATTATAATATTCTGAAAAGCAGTAGGGTAGTAGTAATTTTATTATGAATGAAAGCCAATTATTTTCTTTTTAATGCCTGAATAATAACAATATATATGAATATTTTAAAACATCTGGACTATTTTAAAGTTTTTAGAATATAAAAATTTGGTTTTATTGCAAGGAGTAAAATTAATAAGATAAAACAATAAACAAAAATGAATACTTAAAATGAAATAGTTTATTTATTGTATTTATTTAATAAAAAAAAGACTCCTTTTATATATTAAATTCTTTTAGAAAAAGTAAAGAAAATAAACATCAGATTATTTTATGCTTTTATTATAAATTTTATTTCCGGAAAAGAATTATTGATTTATTTCAAAATATAATGAAAAATGTATGTTATACTTATCCAAAAAGTTAATATTATTTTAATAATATGCAATTAAATATCATAAAAATATAAAGAAAATACCTTACATTTTTTTGGTAGTTTATACAAATAAAAATTGAAAAGATTGTTTACATGAACAAAGTTTGCATAAAATTTATAAAAATAAATTAATTATTAATTTTTCAACAATGTACCTTAATTTGCTTATTGTAAAATTGTTTACACAATTAAACCAGACATTAAAACAAAAACGGAATGCAGAAATATTCAAAAAATTGATTATAATGATCGCTTGTAATCAATTTTAAATTTATCGATCATTAAATGAATTATAATGATTAAAAGAAATCAATTATAATGATCATAAATGCATTTTTTATTTTGATATACATGGCATAAAATATGTTTTACCTCAAAATCTTCATTATAGACGTACCATTTTTTATATAATTTTAAACAGATATTTTCAAGTGCAAAAGGTATTTTCTTTCAGTTTAAATCATTTAATTCTAACTTATCATTGTATTGAGTAGTTAAATACCAGTAATGAAAATATTTATAACATTTTCCACGTTGATAATAAATTGAGTGCATCATTCATGTTAATTATATTATCTAATCCACCTACATAAATGTATATATTTACACGTATGTAAATTCCATTTTAATTCCAGCATTTTCCATTAGAATAAGATTTTCCAATTAATAGTAATATTTGTGTTACAAATCTATTGTGTTAAACTGTTGTTTAATCTTAATTACATGCATTATTATTATATTGTGAAATCCTTTTATTTATACTTTTATCATTTATTTTAAATTAAAGTTGTTTTTTTTATAATTATTATTTTTACACTTAATTTAAAGTTTATAATTTATATTTTCCTTTATATAGTATATAATTTATATACCTTATAAAATTTTAACTTTATATTTTAAACTTTAATTGCAAATAATGTTAACATAATAGATCATGAGCATATTACATAACATATGATTAATTATTTTACTCAACATTGAAGTTGATTAAATGTTCTGGAAGGAAAATATAATTATCAAGAAACATTTTTTAATCCTTGTTTTTAAAGATAAATTATTAGGCTAGTTAATTTAATCTCAATTTACATTGTGGGCTAGAAGCGTTATTTAATAAGATAAATTTTTGTTGTAGTATGATTTATTGTAAATAGTAAAACTTAAAAATAACAATTTATTATTTTTAAATTAATTTTTTAAGTAGAAAGTATAACAAATAAGTCAAACCTGCTATAAAATGCCATCTTCATACAGTGCCAATCAATGCTTCATGAATGGATCTTTTTTAATTACCAAATGTAGTATTTTGCTTTAAAAAGGACTTTATTATCAGGAAATCTTATGACTTTCAAACTCTTAAATCTCAAATTTGTGTTTAGATCTCAATACTTTAAAT